CTGCGGCCCCCCCGCCCCCCACTCCCTGCCCCCCCACTCACTTGCGGCACTGCTTGGCCAGCTTCAGCGTGGAGCCCTCGGCAAACTGCTTCATGCTGAAGTCGGTGCCTCCGGCAGAGCCCAGCTTGCAGAGCCCCTGCAGCCAGGAGCAGCGCACGTGAGCCCCGCGGCACCGGGGGCACAGCGCTGCGGACCCAGGCCCTGCAGCCGCAGCCAGCAGCAGCCGCAGCCAGCAGCAGCCGCAGCCAGCAGCAGCCGCAGCCAGCAGCAGCCGCGGGGTGCTCACCACCAGCGCCCGGATGCGGATGCTGTCCCTCTCACTGTGCTTGTAGATTTCCTTGAGCAGGCTGACGCCGTTGGCGGTGATGAAGGAAGCGCGCTTGGCCTTGTCGGCAGCATGGATCAGCGCCTCCACCGCTACCAGCTGGTGGGCCTCGCGCACCGAGGCGCAGAGGGACAGGATGCCGTCCATGATCCCCTCCAGCTCCAGCACCCTGTTCCCAGCGTCCGAGGGGCCCTGCAGCAGGCACGACACTGTCTGGATGGCCCGCAGCTTCCCCACCAGCTCCTGCCCCTCGAACCAGCTCCTGTGCAGCGAGAACACCGGGGGGGGTTAAGGCTGATGCCTCCCACTGCCTCCGGCCACACACAGCCCCAGCTGCTGAACCCAGCACAGCCGGTCACTGGTGGAACTTGCAACCTGCTTTTACCACTGAGAGCAAAAACGTTTGGGGTAGGGGTGCTGCTGCATGCGACCAAGCCCCATTTGCCCCGGGGACGCCCAGGCTCACCTCACGTAGTCCTTGCACAAGTGGTGGAAGTTTTCCCTCTCAGCATCACATTTCAGGTCATCGTAAAGTTTGCTCAGCAGCACCGAGGCGCTCATCCGAGTGTTCTCCGTCACGGGCAGGCTGCCCGGGCTGCCACACACTGTGCTTCCCACCTCCAGGATCTTCTTCAGGCCTAGGAGAAGGCGAGGACACACACCTCAGCGCTGGCAGGCACCCCGAGGCAAAGGGGTGCGAAGCCTGGCGGGATGCTGCGGGCTCCTCTGCTCACCCTGGTCGATCACCCACAGGCTCATGCTGTTGTTGATCTCCTTTGGTGACTTCCTGGGCACGACCTTGATGAGCAGGTTGAGGGCATTGTCCCGGCCGTGCGCAGAGGCCCCTTCCAGAGCTAGCAGCTCCAGGAGGTGCTTGATCAGCAGTTTCAGGTCCTTGGAGGAATCTTCCAGAAGAGACAGTGCCCAGCAGTGAGCACCCCCGGCACAGCCCTCACCCTACCATGGCAGGGCTGGCAGGAGATGCTGCCATGACCAAGGGCTCAACCTCACATTAACCCTGGGCCAGAGCCCTGGCTCTGCAGCAGGCAGCACTCACCCAGCACCACCGCGTCCTCCTTGCCACGGAAGTCCTTCTGCAGCCCCTCCTTCAGGGAGTCGAACATCACGTGCAGAAGGTTGCAGGCAGCCAGGGAAACCTGCTCGTGCTCCACACCCAGCACCGCCGAGAGGCGAGGGGCCCCCAGCTCCGCCAGGATGGCTGTGGTCTGCAAGTACAAGCACAGGTGTCAGCTGGAGAGCTGGGGGAAGCCATGGTGCTTCCCAGCACCTCACTGGGACAGTTCCAAGTTACAACAAGGCTCTCACAACCTCAGGCCTGGCAGGTGACAGCCCAGAGCTCCTGTGCTCGGCAGGGCTGGAGGCAGAGGCCAGTGACACTCCCCTGCCTGTCACACTCCGCAGCCTCCCCGGCACCCATTTCCCCTGTCACACACAAGAGCTGAGCTATGGTAGGACCTACCCGGGAGCGGTGCCCGGAGCACAGCCCCACCAGCGTGCGCAGGGCCGCCAGCATCAGGTCAGCCTTGGCCGTGTCCAGCAGCTGTGTCAGCAGCCGCACACCATCACTTTGGAAGATCTTCTCTGCTCCGGCCTCCTCTCGCGCCAGCACGATCAGGTTCTGCGCAGCCTGGGAAGAGAGAGTCGTGTCTGAAGGCAGCCACCCAACAGAGCATTCCCCAGGGAGCACGCTGTGATGGTGGGAAGCCCATCCTCAACCCAGCAGCATTCAGCCAACACCTTCCTCCCCCCCCTCGCCTTTCAGCCAAGCCTCCGCTCCCCAGAGCTCAAACCTTTTGCTTCTTGTCCGCATCATTTTCTTCAAAATCCAGCAAGATCTGGAACATCTGCTCTACCTTTGAGTCCGTGCAGGACATGGTTTTCATCTGAGACAGAGCAGAAAGAGCAGTTCAGCCCTCACCGTCTCCCTCAGCCCACCCATCCATGGGGCAGCCCCCACGCTGCCTCCCCGCTCACCTTCTCATGCATGCTGCTGCCCAGGGCGCGCAGGGCCTCCTGGAAGGCCTTGTTCTTGGGCTCCAGGCTGAGGCACCGCTGCAGGTCACTGACAGCCTGGTCCAGGCGGCCCAGCTTCTGCAGCGCCTGGCTGCGGCGGAACAGCGCCTTCACGTCCCGGCCATCCGCTTCGATGGCTGCAGGGAGAGGGGGGTCCTTCGCAAAGGCCCCAGGCTGCTCCTGCTCCCCAGTGCCCACGCAGGCAGTGCACAGGGGCCGGTCGCCTGCTAGCCACCACCGACAGTACCTTTAGACGCGTCAGCCTCCGCCTTGGCGTAGTCCTCCTGCAGAGACAGAGAATCAGGGAGAGGAAAATGCCCGATGCGCTGCCCGTGAGCCCTCGCTCAGTCTGGCCTGGTGTGGGCAGGGGCAGCACCCACTGCTTTACAGAGGAGAGCTGGGGAAGGATTGTGAATTTGGAAGATGGGAACAGAGTCCAGGGGACAGTGAGCCAGCCCAGCAGGACATCATATCCTTCCCCAGACACAACCCTCATGGGGTTCCCAAGTAGCCCTATGGCCCCCGACGGTTCTCAAGTGCTCCTGGTACACTAGAGCCCCTGAAGTTCCCTGTGCTTCCCTCCTGCCTCAGAGACAGTCCCACAGTGGGAGATCAGAGATGCTGTGACTGTGGGCAGAGCATCCCGGAGCACACACCCAGCACAGGCATGGACAGGAGCACCCCGTCCTGGCCCCGAGAGCCCACCCGGGATGCGGGGCAGCCCGGGACAGCAGGGAGGGCCGGGAGGAAAGGTGAGCAGAGAACACGCCAGGCAGCGCCCTGCCCGGACACCCGGGCACCCAGCCTGGGACCGCCAGGGCCTTCCTCCGGCGGGAGGAGGCGCCGACGAGGGCGGAGGGGCCGGGCAGCCCCGACAGGCTGGGGCGGCCGGGCAGGTCCCCGCAGCGCCCGGTGCCGCGCCCGCCGCGCTCTCACCAGCTTCAGGTAGCAGGCGGCGCGGTTGCGGTGCAGCACGGCCCGCTCCGGCCCGGCCTCGCACAGGCTCAGCGCCTCGGTGTAGGCGGCGAGGGCAGCGGCGTGGTCCCCCGCCTGGAACTGCGCGTTGCCCCGCTCCCGCAGCTGCCCCGCCGTCACCTGCCGACGGGCACCGGCTGGGACAGGCGCGCCGGGGCACGGGCGCGGCCCCGGCTCCGCAAGGGCGGCAGCCCCGGGACACGGCCCCGCTACCACCGCCTGTCCCCGGACGGGCCCTGGGCGCCGGCCCCCATCGCACCGGGCACCGGCAGCCGGCCCCTCCGGCGCTGCTCCCTTCCAACCCCCCCCGGACAGCCGCCCCCCACAGCAGCCAGCCGCAGTCCCGTTCCGCCCGGTCCTGACCCCGTGCTATCCGTCTTGTCCCCTCCCGTCCCGTCTCGTTCCCGTTCCATCCCATCCTGTCGCGTCCCGTCTCGTTCCCCTCCCCTCCCGTTCCCGTTCCATCCCATCCTGTCCCCTCCCCTCCTGTCTCGTTCCCGTTCCCGTTCCCGTTCCACCCCATCCTGTTCCCTCCCCTCCCGTTCCCGTTCCATCCCATCCTGTCGCCTCCCCTCCCGTCTCGTTCCCGTTCCATCCCATCCTGTCCCGTCCCGTCTCGTTCCCGTTCCCGTTCCACCCCATCCTGTCCCCTCCCCTCCCGTTCCCGTTCCACCCCATCCTGACCCCTCCCGTCCCCGCTCCGTCTTGTTCCCATGCCCTTCCGTTCCCGTCCCGGTTCCCGTCCCGCGCTCCCACCGCCGCCGCCTCCATCGCGCCTCTCCCACCGCGCCCGTGACGTCTCTGCCGATCGCCCGGGGAACGCGGACGCCACCTCCCGTGTCACGGGACGGGGATGGGGCGGGGGGGGGCGGGAGGAGGATGTAGCGCCCCCCCGCGGCCCGGCGGTGCCGGTACCGACCACGTGCGACCTCGTGGGGGGGGGGGGTGGGGGGGGGAGGGGGTGTGTGTGTGTGTGTGTGTGTGTGTTGGGGGGTGTGGGTGTTGGGGTGTGTGTGTGGGTGTGGGTGTGTGGGGGTGTGTGGGGGTGTGTGGGGGTGTGTGTGTTGGGGGGGGGGTGTGTGTGTGTGTGTGTGTGTGTGTTGGGGGGTGTGGGTGTTGGGGTGTGTGTGTGGGTGTGGGTGTGTGGGGGTGTGTGTGTGTGTTGGGGTGTGTGTGTGTGTGTGTGTGTGTGTGTTGGGGTGTGTGTGTGTTGGGGGGTGTGTGTGTGTGTGTTGGGGGGTGTGTGTGTGTGTGTTGGGGTGTGTGTGTGTGTGTGTGTGTTGGGGTGTGTGTGTGTGTGTGTGTTGGGGGGGTGTATGTGTGTTGAGGTGTGTGTGTGGGGGGGGTGTGTTGGGGTGTGTGGGGGTGTGTGGGGGTGTGTGTGTTGGGGGGTGGGTGGGTGGGTGTGTGTTGGGGGGGGTGTATGTGTGTTGCGGGGTGTGTGTGTGTGTGTTGGGGTGTGGGTGGGTGTGGGTGTGTTGGGGGGGTGTGTGTGTGTTGAGGGGTGGGGTGTGGGGGTGTGTGTATTGGGGTGTGTGTGTGTGTGTGTTGGGGTGTGGGGGTGTGTGTGTTGGGGTGTGTGTGTGTGTGGTGGGGGGAGGGGGGCGTGTGTCCCGCCCCCCCCCCCGCACTCCAGACCCCCCCCCCCCAACCCCTCCCACCCCCCTCAGCAGCCCCGCCCGGGAGCCCCGGTGCCGCGGGGCTGCGGGGTGCGGGACCGGAGCCGGTGCCCCCCCGGGAGGCTGCTGGGCAGGCGGCGGCCAAGGGGCAGGAGGCGGCAGTGCCGGGTGCGGTAGAAATGGACGAGGTCGATGGCCATGAGGAGGAGGATGAGGAGCCCGTAGAGCCCCACGAAGGGCAGCGCCAGGGGGTTTCTGCAGGAGGGGGCACCTCAGGACAGGGCAGGCATGGCCCCACCAGCAGAGCGGCACCCCGTGGTGGGAGGGTACCCGGCTCTGGGTTCCAGGCTGGCGGGGCAGACCCATGTGCCAGCCACCATGGGGAGCCCAGGGCCCACGCTGCCCCCGGCCCCGGTCCACACAGCCCTGCTCACCGGAGGAGGTCGGGGGTGGCCAGGCTGGAGAGGTTAACCCCGGTGAGGGCCTCCAGGGCTCCCTGGGAGCAGCAGGACTTGAGCGTGCGCGGGCCGGGCCGGCAGCAGTAGCGGTGCCCGGCAGGGTCTGTCAGCCGCGGGCAGTAGAAGCCGGGGTGGTAGCGGCCGTCGGGGCCCGCGTAGCCCTCGCAGAGGTGCAGGTTCTGCACCGAGCCTGCAGTGAGGAGCCACGGCTCAGGTCCCGCTGCGGGTGCGGCAAAGGCTCCCCTCTGCCCTGAGGGGGTCGGGGTGCCGGCAGCCGGCACCGTGCTGGTGGCAGCTCCAGCGATGTGACCCTTCCAGAGCGGGGCTGGGCTGGGCTGGGAGCGCCCCGGCCCCATGGGAGCCCCCGGCTCAGCCCCGGGCTGGGCTCAGGTCGCAGCTGAGCACGGTCTCACCAGGCACTGCCTCATGTGTGCCGTGCTCTCTGGTGCTCGCCCTGACCCTGGCAGGGGCAAACGTGGGCGAGGGGGGTGATGGCGGCAGATGGGAGGGGAAAGGCCCCGGTCAGCTCCGGTCTCCCCGTGCTGATCCCCTCCTGTCCCCACCACCCCACAGCGTGGGGTCAGCTCTTCTCGCCCCACAGTTGTGCTGTGCAGGGGCCAACCCCACCACCAACCCCCCCAGTGCGGATTCCTGCACCCCGGCACAGACCCAGGCTCCAGCACGGGCTGGCGGGAGCAGCCCTCAAGGGGCACGGCCCCAGCGGGGATGGGGAGGAGGCGTTCAGGGAGCGGGGCTGTACCTGTCCCGCAGAGGCCGGGGCACAGCGCCATGGCAAAGAGCAGCCGGAGCAGGAGCCCACCCAGCATCTTCCCGGCTGACCCTGAGCAGCAGCAGGTCTGGCTCCGGGGAAGGCAGAAACCACAGCCCCTCCTCTCCCGCCTCCATCACGGCCCATCAAGAGCCACTTGGAGCCATTAGAGCCTCCTGCACTCGATGCCCGTTCCACAGGGACCAGGGCGGGAGGCGGGAGCATCACTAATGAGCTTCTCGGGGGCCAAGAGCAGACAGGAGGCACCTTCCACATCGGGCACTGGGGCCATGGGTGCCGGCTGGGCACCTCAGCCTGGCTGGGGATCCCGGTGCTGCGGGCGAGAGCAGCAGGTGAGGCTGGACCATGGCAGGTTATGCTGCAGCCCCTCCACAGCCCAGCCCCGGCAGACCCTGTGCCGCAGTCTGGCCCCCCGCCAGCCGTGCCATTAGCCAGGCTCCGGCACAGCCCCGGCAGCACACTGTGCCAGGGTAGGGCTGTGCTCCCCTGCTCCCCAGCACAAGCCATGCACCAGGCCCGGGTCTTGCCCCATGCCTGGCTGGCCAAGGATGCAAGGGGCTGAGCTGCCGGGGTCCATCTGCACTGGTCCATGCTCTCTGCTCATCCTCAGGGCTGTGCCCATGGGCTATGGTTTGTGGGCTATGCTGGAGGCTGTGCGGGAAACCAAGACAGAGCTTATCCAGCACCACGTCCTCGCCTGTCTCTCCCTGGGCTCCCCTCAGCAGTAATGAGCCCCAGAGGGGCCCGAGGAGTGCAGCAGCCCCTGTGTCCCCACAGCAACCGGGAGGATGCTCCTGGTGACGTGGCTTTCCGCAGCCCCTGGGACACTGCAGACCAGTGGCCAGGCTCTTCGGGCACCAGAGCATCTCCCCACAGCGCACTGTGCCCACTCTCCCCTGCAACCAGCTAGAGAACCACGAACCAGACACAGACCAGAGCCCTTGGAAACAGCCTCATGTTTCCCACAAGCTCCAGTGAGCTCCATCTCCAGTCCACAGCACCTCCGTGGCCAGCAGCTCTGGCCCCACCGCGCTGCCCCGGGAGCTGGGGGAGCCCGGCACGGACGGGCCCTGCCCCAGGACCCCGCGGTTGCAGCCGTGTGGGGGCAGCAGGGCAGCCGTGCCCATCGTGCCGGTACTGCAGAGCCCGTGGCCTCGATGCGCAGCCCGTCACCTCTGACACCCGCCTGAGAGCACAGGGCGGAGAAATGCGAGGGCAGCAGCGTCTGCAACCCGGCACCTCCTGCCTAGCGCCCGCCCGGGGCTGCCGGCCCGGCCTCTGCGAGCCGTGCCGGTGCTGCCGCGCTGCTCCCCTCCTGCTCCGGGAGGCGCTACCCCAGGCGGATGCGGAAAGTGGCGATTTCCATGGGGTCCAGGTGGATGTTGGTGCTGTTGGAGGCCGTGCCCAGGGGGTACATCAACGTCAGCGAGGTGGGCTGCAGGGAGCCCACCTCCAGCCCCTGGAACAGGCTGCCCAGCGCCAGCTATGGAGAGGAGGGAGAAGGGCGGGTGGGTTGCGGCGCCCGGCAGTGAAGCACCATGCACATGTGTGACAGCAGTCGGTTTGTGGCCCCCCACCCACCCAGGGCACCACAATGACCCACCCCGGGCTCTGCCCTTCCTTACAGGATGGACTGCATTGGGATGCAGGGCTCATGGAAGGTTCCAGACCCAACATCCTCCAGCTGGGCCTGTGCAAGGGCCAGAGCAGGGCTGCACTGTCACTCTTGAGCAGCCACTGTGCAACAATGGTGCTGAGGGACCTGGGCCCCCTCCTGCATGAGCAGAGGATGCAGCAGGCCAGCCTGGGACCCCAGCCTGGCTCTGACCCAGCAGCATGTGGAGGCATCAGCCTGGTCCTACCTTGCCCTGGCTGGTGGTACAGTTAAACCCCAGGTTCTTGGCCTCCAGGCTGCAGTCAAAGCCTTTGCGGTGCAGGATCAGGGCTGCCTCTGCCGAGGGCAGCGATTCAACCTGCTGGGGAGCCAGGGATGAGGTGTGATGCTGGGGACAGCGGGTACAAGCCCCGCCCCGGAGCACAGCTCACCTCTGCCTGCAGCATTCGCAGGTTAAGGATGTGGAAGTCGCAGGGGAGGGTGGTGGAAAGGGGCGTGAAGGAACGCAGGGGTGGTGGGGCCGGCTTCTCCTGGGCCACGGGCATGACCAGGGCCTCGGCATTCAGGTGCATGGACGTGATGTGGCTGAGCAGCGAGGGGAAGCTGATCGGGCGCCCGTCCTGTGCCTGCCAGAGAGCACAGGGCTCAGCGCCAGCCAGGGGAGCTGCGGGGCCAGGCACAGCCTCGACACAGCCCCTGCAGCAGCAGTGGCCAGCAGCGGGCACCCAGAGCTGCTCCCACCTGGGCACGAGCACCCTCCCCAGCAGCAGTGGCCAGGCCACGGACCTGGCTAGGGTTGTGCTAGCAGCTACTGCACGAGACAGGGAGAGACAGCGGGGCCAGGCCGGCCGTTACCTCTGGGCTGCCAGTCCTGGCGCTGGGGAAGCCCAAGGCGTTAAACATGGAGGCCAGCGTGGAAAAGAAGCTGGAGCTCTGAGTGGGTGACGTGGCGCATGCACAAGGAGCAGTGAGGGGATGGGACAAGAACACCCTGATTATGAGGGCACTGCGGCTCCACAGGGACCCCGCTGCACGGTCCCAACCTCCCCGTGTCCCCACTCCAGGCCCGGCCCCATGCGGAGCCAGTATGATGGCTGGGAGGGCCATGGAGCAGCAGGGGATGAGACCCTGCTCCATCCCAGAGCAGGGCTGGGCTCAGCACACCCAGTCCCGCTCTGCAGCCGCAGCCCATGCACCTGGCTGGCAGCGGTGCGGCGCTCCAGGAGGATGCGGAACCGGTTGCATGTCCGCTTGTTGTCCTTCAGGCCCTGGCCCAGGCCCCGGTTGTCGTCCTGTATGAGGCGCCGGTCCAGGATGACCTCGAGCTGGCCTGCAGGGAGCGGGTCCCAGCGTGGGCTTTAGCAGGAACCGGCCATGGCCCGGCTGGGGCACCCCGGAGGCAGCAGGGCCAGGGCTGCCTGTGCCCAGCCCGCAGCAGCCTCCTCCCCAGCACCCTCTGCCAGGGCAGCCCCCAAGGCACAGCCCCATGGCCGCCTCACCGCTGCCGAGGCTGGAGACGCCCAGGGCCTGGGCTGTGTGCAGCGTCAGGCGGCTCTGCCTGTCCTGGATGTAGGCCATGGTGGGCATGGGGTAGAAGTTGGCCTGGAGCGGCAGCTTCCGCTGGTACCTGCGGGGCTGGATCTGCCGCGGGGCAGAGCTCAGTGCCTGGAGGTGGCTCTGGCCATGCCCGGTGCCAGGGCACCGTCCCCCTGTGGGCAGCGGCCTTCCCTCGCCGGGCCGCCCCGTACCTGGAAGCCATTGAGGTCCGTGAAGAAGGTGTCTTCACTGTCGATGTCAGTGCTGAAGCGCAGGGCCAGCTCCATGTTGATCTGGTCACGGATGTCCACCAGACAAGATACGTCCAGGGACAGCCCCTCCACCCCTGGGGACAGGCAATGAGGGGCTGAGCCCCACAGGCAGCATTGCCCAGCACCCTTGGGCCACCAGCCTCCCCACATGGCCTCACACTGTCTCACCTGGGACGTTGTAAAGCCGCACCACAGTCTGGACATGCTGGTAGTAGCTGGCGACCTCAGAGAAGAGGGGTCCCTCCGTCACCCGCACCACTGGGAGGTCATTGGGGGCATAGGGCTGGGGGGAAAGAGCTGCGCTGAGGCTGCTGCCTGCAGGACTCCCATGTGGCTGCCAAACGGCTCACAGAGGTGCCCTCTGTACCTTGGCCTCGCCGTCAGGCAGGAAGAGGTAGGCTCCACTTTTGTCCTTGGAGGCCCTGGTGCCATAGACGAGGAACTCGCTGCTCACCCTCTGCTCCCGCTCCTCCCCAGCTCGGCGGATGCTCTGCGGGGTGTGAGCCGGCACAGGGTGAGCGCTGTGCGCACGGGGCAGTGCTGTGCCCCTCGGCCCCGGCACGGCCCTGCACTCGCCTGCAGAAGGCCCGAGCGTCCGGAGAAGCAGGCTCGCAGGTGCTGGTTCTCCAGGCAGACGTCCTCGGCGCCGGCCGGGAGCACGTGCACGGGCACCGGCTCCTGCCTGCGCATGGGCAGGTTGAGGCCGGGCAGGTAGAGGCGCACGGAGGACTGGAGCGCGGCGTGGCCCTCGAAGGACTTGTGCAGCTGCAGCACTCGCAGCCCCAGTGCGGGCAGGCGGGCCAGGACAGACACCTGTGGGGGCACGGGGCCGTGAGCCGGCGCCATGGGACACGCGGGCTGTGGGCTGGGCAAAGACCTGGCCCGCACCTGGGGAGCCTCTGCTGGGGGGCTTGGCATGGGGGGGCTGAGGGCTCGCGAGCAGCGGAGCTCGTGCTGTGGTGCAGGGACACGTGGTGCCACAGAGCTATGGGGTCACCGTGCAGGATGGGGGGCTGGCACACATGGGCTATGCAGGATGAGGGTGGGGGTGAGCAGGGCTCTGGGGCACCCCATACCTGGTAGATGTCGGGCACCGTGTCAGTGTCGGAGCCCCAGTGTGCGCTGAGCTGGGCAGGCAGGGGCTGCCCCTCCTCGGAGAGCACCCGCACGTGCGGGGAGTTCACCAGCACCCGCACCACGCTCAGGCGCTCCTGCTCCAGCGGGTTGAACACCACCAGGAACCTGTGGAGCGGCACACAGGGATGGCCACCCCAGCCCCACAGCAGCCCAGGTGCCCCACACCACCCACCCGCTCTTCACAACATCCCAGGCACCCATTCAGTGCCTCCCCACAGCCTGCAGAGCAAGGCGCAGACCCTACCGGGGTGAGACGTCCACTTTGACCACTGTTCTCTCAGGGAGGGAGTCCTGGCTGGGGCGCGTGTCATCCTGGGGAGAGGAGCGGTCAGCGCTGGGGTGCACTCACCCTGCCCCTGGGTCCCCACTGGGTGGGCAGGCAGGGCTGTGCTCCCCAGGGGCACAGGGATCACTGCCCCAGCATGGTCCCGTGAGCTGGGCCGCAGGAGCTAGGGACCACGGGGCTGCTCACCATGCTGAGGAAGGGAGCAGCAGGGTCGTGGCGGTAGGTGTCCTTGTCCCCCAGCACAAGGTAATGTGCAGCGTTGATGATGATGTGCTTGAGGTTCGTGAGGGAGTGGAGCAGCCTGGGACACAGGCAGTGAGCCACACAGACCGTCCTCCCATCTCCCAGCATCCCCACAACACAAACGCAGACTGGCTTGGGTTGGAAGGAACCTTAAAGCCCATCCAGCTCCAACCCCTGACATGAGCAGGGACCCCTTCCACTGGAGCAGCTTGCTCCAAGCCCCTGTGTCCAACCTGGCCTTGAGCACTGCCAGGGATGGGGCAGCCACAGGTTCTCTGGGCACCCTGTGCCAGCGCCTCAGCACCCTCACAGGGAAGAGCTTCTGCCTAAGAGCTCAGCTCAGTCTCCCCTCGGGCAGGTTCGAGCCATTCCCCTTGGCTTGCCCCTAAAGGCCCTTGGCCAAACCCCTCGCCAGGTTTCCTGTACCCCCTTTAGCCACCTCCGTCAGGAGAGGGGCTCATACCCCACACCCTGCTCCCAGCCCTGTGCACACCAACCCCCACCTGAGACAGGCCCCTCCGGCTGCGCCCCGTCCCCCTCACGCACCGGACTCCGTAGTCAACAGCCACAGCCTCCTTGGCGGTACCGGTGATGGCATCGTGGTGCTGGAAGAGGGCCAGGTTGCGGCGGGCATTGCTCAGCAGCGCATAGTCAGAGAGTGGATACGTGCCGTCAGCACCAGCGCGGCGGGCATGGGCGAGCGCCAGGCTGAACAGGATCTCTGCGCCCCTGCGCAGGGACAGAGGCTCTGAGCGTCCCTGCCCCGGTCCCCTGAGAGGAGGAGCGGCCAGTCCAGCCTGTGTGCTCCATGCAGGGGGCCTTGGCCCCGGGAGGACAAGCCAGGGTGGCACACGCTGCCCTGGGGCTGGATGAAGGTTTGGCACTCCCTTGACCATGCCTGGGCCACCCCCAGCACGCTGGTGGCTCTGGTGCAGACCAGGGGCTCCCAGGGCTCCCAGTGCTGCCTGGCCAACCCTCACCCATACCCCCTGCACCCAGCCCCTGCCCCGGAGCCCTGCCTGCTCCCCCTCACCGGAGATGGGCCTCCAGCACCCGGTCCAGGCTCTTGTAGAAAGGCCGGGAGGTGTAGT